GTCCATCAACAAGTCCCAAGTTCAAACCTTCAAGGTGGCTGGAATTCACCTGGAAGAATCGTGTTTTCCCACGGACTTCATCAAGCATGACTTAGTCATTGTAAGTATCGTGATTTTCACGAATAACCGATATTTACTTTAAGTTGATTTTGCAGCCTTCGGACTTACACATTTAAACAATATTTTTTAGTTATTTTGCGGTTTTTTATCGCTACTTTCTCCACAATTACTCCTTCCGAGCATACACATCAAATCAAAGCAGCCTCAGAAATGCCGAGCTATTCACCTTATACTTCATGATTTTAAGAGTTTCTCATATCTAGCACACATGCAGTTAGCCTACATAAGGGACAGTAATGGGCAAGGGAATCTCAAGGCGAAGCCGGGATTTTGTGATAGTATCTAATATTTCAAAGTTAAATTTCTCAAATTTCCGGTTGCAAAAGTTGATACAATTGCAATTTTTGGATGTTAAAAGGAAGCTCAAGGACAAGAGCCATATTACTTCAATAAAATGGCTTAAAAATTATTATTGGCACTCCGCGGTCACGTTTTGGCTTCTATGAGCGCTCATCCGATGTTTTTTATTTTTCGACTTCCGCTGAGCTAGCCAATGAAAGGTGCAAGATCGGTTTTTTCGGAATTTTGTGACAAAGATGTTATAATATAGGAATCGGTGACCATCTATCTGGTCCCCTTAACTAGGCATAGAGGTCGTAGTCTTACATATTAAAGTTTGTTTAAGTTCACTTTTGACGCGCCCTTTCTGATCTTACTCGTGCACTTCTTGAGAAGATGGCCTCTCATCTACATTGGATGCTTATTAAAAATACCCACTGTTTTCTTATGAAGAGAAAAGGAGGGGAACAATTTAGCCGCGATCCATTGAACTTGAAGGGGAAAAACTGCTTCAAGTACTGCGGTCTTGTTCACAAGAAGGCCATTGGCATCAAACAAGAACGCGGCGGCAAGGGCGTGTATATGCTTACAAAGAAGGCCGGATATGATCACAAACCCCGTCAGGCCATCGTGCGCACTAAGTTCGTTAGAGGCCAAAGACGGTCCCTGCAGAAAATCCGGAACTTTGTTTGTCGTCAGAATTACCGTCGCGAACTGAAGATGGTAAGTTCAACTGGCCTTTATTTGTATTTTTCTTAGCTTGCTTTGAGAAGAGCCAGCGGTATGATGCAAAAGAACAAGTCGAAGACGCCTGCCGCGTCATCGCAACCGAAGAAGAACTAAGGTTGTTAAATAAAATTCATATGGCATTCCTGGTTTCTGTTCATTCCGTTCACTGACAACTTTTAATTTTTTACTGTGTTCCCTCTTTCGTTAAACGAGATAGGTATGTGCGATCTCCAAAGCTGTGTGTCGCGTAATGCGGGTGTAACCTTGCTCTGTATATTTATTCGGTGTGCTGACCGTCGAGGTGCAGTTCGGGGATCTGATAGCTGTTAGTTGTTTATGGCTAGAACGTGGTTCAAAAGTGTGCCGCAGTGAAACATTGCAAAACACGGTGTTGTCGTAGTTATCGTACTTTGTAGCATCCCTTTTCTTTCGGATATGCAAACGAGCGTCGAGGTGGGAGCGAATACGCAGTTTGAAGTATAAAATTCTCTGTTTTTTGGTATCATAGTTGTTTGTCCACGGGCTCCTGGCGCCAACCATGTTAGAGGACTGGAACTACTGCATGGAAGTTCATTAGTTCTTAATCAAAACGGTTAAGGCGCCGTAAGCATTCATGATAAGGATTGCTTTTGACAATATTCCTAGCCGATCCCTACCATCTTTACGAATATCCACTTGCTTCTGAGGGACTACCATCACTTTGGGAAATAATTTTGTAGGTCGAGCGCATCACCGACACCTGACGTCAGAAGTTGACGAAAAGCATAATCGTCATCAGACCTAGCATGTTTCCACAGAGCGTTCCTCGATGCCGCAAATTTTATCAGATGCCCAATCCACGGGTGACTAGCGTATGTCCATTTGCTGCTCCCTTCTGTTAACTCAGGTTGCAAAGCGATGGCAGGTCTGCGCCGCTTCTCCGGGCATTAATCACACCGTAATTGTATGCACGTGTCAGTTAGAGCGCAAATAAGATGTGTTCAGCAAGCACTAGGCTGAAATCAAGTAGATGTTACTTTGGAATAGCCCATAACATTTGGAAGGTAAGTGACAAGGAACTCAAACATACATCAGTCTCCTGATTGGTGGGCATGGCTGGGCGGCCGCCTTCGTAGCACTGTTAATATGCTTAAGCTGATGAGTGCTGTGTCTGCGGCAACTGCCATAAAAACGTTCATTACTCCTTTTCATGAAATGACCTACTTGAAGTTATATTTTGGGATCGCAACGTTGCCGGCGTGTCAGTCAATTATAAGAGTGGAATCTCTGACATTCCTTCATGTCATGGTACTTTTAAGATAGGTACATGGGACTTAGTTGAATTAACTATGGTATCGCCTGTGCCTCCGAACCATCCACAATCACCATTACCTTCGTAGATCTATGCATAAAAGAACTGATTTGTGCAAGGTTATGCAGCGATTTCAGACGGAATATTGTAGCTCGTCGATGCTTCGCAACTGTAAAAAAATATGAGTTTTCCACCGATCTTCATCCTTTTCGGGCAGTAGCAGAACTGGTTTATGGGAACGACACCGTCCATGGACAGTCATCATTAGTTGGGGGGAGACAAAAGCCACGTACTCGAAAAGGGGTCAAAGTGAATTGCAACAAAAGGCTTATCACGAACAACACTGATAAAAGATTACTACTAATAAAGGACAGGATCCCCAGTCGGTCGCCTGCAGTTTGCTAGGAAAAGTGGTAGCAAAGTATTAGACTTCACTAATATTCTCCAATGATCGTTTGGCCGTAGTGGTTGGCGAGTCTAGCCTCACGTGTGGATTTCTTGCGCTGGATATTTGCTGTTGTACTAACCGATTCTGCTGACAGCACAGTGCAACGGCATTACTAACTTTGGGATGGGACCCTCCATAAAGCCTGTTGCTGTCATCGGCAGATTTTCAGGTAGTTCCCGGTCTAGATGTGATGACGCATAGCTCCAACGCATTCAGTATGAAATCGATGCTGTAAAGGAATCACCGAAAGCTTCCGCCAATGTATCAACGTATTCAAGAGTTTGTTGAGAGGCTAATGTCTGTTGTCCCGAATATAACGAATTCCGATGGCGGATGTCTGCGATAGTTGGAATAGACTCCGGTGATAGCCTCTT